TACAGAGCTGATCTTTTTCCTGGCGCTGTTTTTAAGAGTGTGGGCATATCGTCTGTGCAAAATGATCAACTTTTCCGTATTTATCACAGACTGATATTTATGGAAGAAGGAAAAGATATCTGTCGGCTGTGATTGGTTGTTCCTCATCACATGATATGCGGTGTGCGCTGCTGCACTCCAAAAGTTGAACTCTGCTTATCTTGGGGCGCAACTGTCGCGCCCTGAAATATAGGCACTCGGGAACACGTGCACGCTGGGATGGTGTCGCTCTGGCGTTTGAGCGTGCCTGCCGCGCATCTACATTGACAACACATGAATTCAAGGGCACAAAAATCATGGCATGTGTATGGACCCTAAGGCATTTTATGGACCAAACACTTGAGGGGACTCAAGAAACTGGCCACTGGGGAGCTCCCCTGAGAACTTCAGGGGCTTTTTTCCCCTGTTCGCATACAAACTGCTAACAGGAACGCTGAAGTGGCGTACTGTAAGCTGGCTGATGGAGGGTACCCATCTACCCAACAAACACTGTTGTATGTGTTTTGTGTTGTCTGTTAACACGGTTAATAGGTTTTTAAAAATAGCATTTGCTGTTTGTCTCTCAAGATTACTCTTGTGCTGAAAGAATACCTTCTCCGAAATAAGAGCTTAAAAAAGTCTCTCACAACAAGAGTTCTAAGATCTTCGATTGCTCCTAACAAAAAGGGTGATTCCTACAACTAGAAAAAAGATCCCTCAGTCCAAGAGTGCCTATAGATTCACTGTGAATACTGTATAAAGCTTCTTCAAATACAGTAGGTCCTGGGTTTCAGAGAAGACATAGACAAAAGCAGGCTTCTCATTTCTAGCGCTGCCACCTGACTCTGACAGGCTTTATCAGCTGTAGCTAGCTAATAAATGTTAGCTCCATGAGTTGGTTAAATATGCGGTCTACAGCTGACTTTTTTGTACTTAAACTAAGTTGTTTTAAAACGAGAATCTTCTTCTGAAACCTGCACCTGATGGCTGCATACATACATGTACATATTGTGCTATAAGACTGAGGCTGCATGTCCCAGGTTAAAAAGTCAGTGTCTGCAACAGTTTGTAAAGCACTGGTCAAAAAAGTTTGTCCTTGTATTATTAGTATGATAACAAATTGGGAAGTTAGACATTATTTCATGCTTGTGCAGCTTAGGTTCATGCTTATTTACATCATGTTTTCACTTATACGTTACAAGAGAAAAGGCTTTTTAGGATGAGGACTAACGCATGTGTTTGTACACGTGACCTTGGCCAGGGTTGCTGTTGTGTAAACCTCCTTAAAATCCAGTAAGCACAGGACAGAGCTGCTAACGTTAGCCCAAACATTGACAGCGTCCAGGACAAGCTTCTACATGGTGGATTTTCTAGTCGTTAATTTAATGTAACCTATAACCCCACAAACTAATGCTGTTGATTAATGCTAAGCTCCTTGGCTTTGAAAGTAATGCTTTGTAACTACTATAAGTAGTAAGCTAATTAGCCGGGTTTGCTATTGCAGATTACTTGCAAATTATTTTCTATAACATGAACACAGCGTTAAATCCAGTCGTTACACTTCTAATGTCCTCCAATCTCTTAAAGAGCTGGAGGCTGCTGAAACCAATGTGTATCTGTATGTAATCGTGTTGCTGACGGATTCAGCTCTAAGTCCTGACAGTTAGTGCAAAGTATTTGAATTGCACATATTGTGTTAAATATGCATAATGACTGCCTCTACTTGTTAAAACCAGAACTTTGCTACTGGCTGATCTGGTGGCAGGTGACAGCTTTTGTCACAAACTGAAGCACCTTTCTCACTTTCGCAGCATAGAGGAGTGACTGGGCGTGTCTTCAGCCAAAACTCTGGAGATTATTTACACTGTAAAGCGTGAAGGCCCTGACACGCCAAGCCAGTAGTCTGCCGTTGGGCCGTCGGTGAGTGTCTGTGTCCCATGTTGCTGTGGTGTGTCCCGCCGTGTTGGCCCTTTTTGGGGCTAGTTCGCCATTATTCCGCTGATCAGTGGATTCCGTTGTTGAATTCAATCAATCTAATTGGCAGTTCAGTTCAGCTTACAATAAGAGAAACGGAAGTGAGGAAAGTAAACAAAAAGCTGAAGTGAAGAGTGAGTGAGACCAAAACAAACTTAATATATAAGGTAAGATTGTTTTTCTTTAGCCACTGACCTCTTCAGTAGAGACAGTTAATGATGATTTGTGTTATTGTTCACTGGTGCACCGTAAATATTCTTTGCTCTTTCAACATTGGATTGTGTTGTTATTGTGCTAACTGGCTAAATAGAGTTAGGGTCTTCTGGTTTGAATGATGATTACAGAAAATTTTGACAAGCAAATTTAAGTATTTTGGAGATGCAGATAGTGAGGTGGTGAACTGAAGCCAGACTGTAGAAATTAAATGTGAGATGAGTCATTATATGTGTAATGATTTCTCTCACACATTTAAATTCCCCTCGTATCACAAGTTACTAACAGATCTACTTCATAAACATTCAAATGAAGCAGTGTTATTGTGCTTGTGAGCCAGAACTTTTCCATAAGCACCTTTTGATTGTAAAAGATAAAAGTGAACTCAAATCTCAGATCAAAAACTGCTCAGTATTTAATTAGTGCCGTCTCACCATCACATTCGCCAGCCCCAGAGCAGAGGAGGGTCAGGGCCGGATGTATGATGTTAACACTCATGGTCAGATGTGGAGAGCACCGTGCACAGCTGGATGATGCCAGGCTGCGGCAGGTGGCAGGATTTCGCAAAGTTTGGCTTTTCTTTCTCTGATATGAAGCCTGAATATACTGAGTCATTTTCCCCTCAACCACATAAACCAGGCTAACTGATTATCATCGTTGGTTACAGAAATCCAAGATAACAAGCATTAAATAACTGCAGAACAGTTGTTCTTCTAATACTGTGCATATATCACCAAGCACTATTTTGGTTTTCTAATAGTTTTTGTGTGTCAAATAGCTGCAGGGAACATGACCGTGCTATCAGGTGCACAGAGCACACTGGAGACACGGCAGTGCTACCACACACACTCCGCTTCTGCAGTCACCTGACCTGGCACATGTACATATAGATTGTGTATTTGTGTAAATTTGCAAAGATGACCCAGATGATGAGGTTTATTTGCCTCCACCTTTACCTCGCTGCATTTACCTGAGCAGCAACTAGGGCTGGGCAATGTGAAGATATTATATTGTTATTGAGATATCAGACTATATATCATCTTGGATTTTTTTGTCATCCTCTCAGTCATTACCATGATTCACCGTAAAGAACCAATGATCAGCTGACTCATGTCATGAGGTGCTTTACATTAACCATTGATGGTTTACTGTGGGTGTGAAGGGGCGGGATATGAGGCTGATCATTTGCGAACAAGTTGATTCGGGATTTATAAAAGGATAATTGCTCACAGGTAGGCGTACACACGGTTTTATAAATCGGAATATTTATCGGCGTACATGCATTTCCTCATATATACATAGGCAAACATTTAGTGTTGATTCTCCACAGAGTTTTATAAAAGAGACCCCTGTTTATTTGACATTTGTCTTAAACCCCCTACTCTTTTCTCACTTGTAACAATAACGATAAAACTTCCTTAACCTTAACAGCAGGATAAGAGTGTTTGTAGCTTCTGGCAGTCCTGAAAGTATGTCAACTGCAGGAACAGATTGTTGAGGGAGATGGCAGCGGGGGTTGTGACCTCAGAAAGCACTTAGTGTCCCGCACGGTTTCAGGATTGACACCTCGGGGAGCCCGGAGATATTCACAGCTCTCTCACTCCTGACGGGATGCAGATTGGGATACTGTATATTCATGCAGTATCACTGTAAACAAACGCAGTCTGCACAGTTTGTGTGTGTGTGACGCGACTCAGAGAGAGTTCAAGGAGATCAGCACCGACATGCACGTCAGTGAGGCGAGAGGGGGGAAACTCACGCTGTGTTTCAGAAGTGTTTATGTGATAGGAAGAAAGAGTGACACAGAGAGCCGGGGTGACAGACAGCTTTATTTACACTGCAGTTAAATCACCTCCTCAACAGAAGCTCTTGTCAGTGTTTTGTTTTTGTTTTCTAATAAACAGTTACATCTACAGGCAAACGTGTGAACGCACAGTTGGAGACAGAGCAGAGACATTTGTGGCTGCAGGGGCTCCGAGTGTTGAAATACCAGGGTGTGAAGGCACAGGACGGCTGCTGAAATGGGGCTGGTTTAAAGGACTAGTTCAACATTTTGGGAAATATGCTTTTTGGCTTTCTGGTGAGGGGTCAGATAATAAGATTGATGCCACTCTGTATTTGTCTAGCAGCAGCAGTGGCATGGGGGAAATTTTTGGTATTTGTTCAATCTCTGTTGGTCTTAGTTTTGGGTCTAGTGCTGTAAGTGGCTGCAGCCGAATACAGTCCATATTCAGTCACTAGATCATGATTCAGCTGCTTTGATGCACTAGGCCTATGTTTGTTTGTTTGCTTGTTTTGTTATCTGGATAATAATGTCATAATTTCCCATTTTATCTAGCTGTGGTGGTAATGTTCTTACTGTGGTGGTCCACCACTCTTTAATGAATGTAGAGGAAACACTGGCTGTTTCACGGGGGAGTTGTGTCGACTTTTTCTCGGCTGATTTTGTGCAAATCATACAAAAGTCTCACAACGTTTTTATCAGTTTACATAACAGGTGGTGGTAGGTGAATATTGTTACTTATGGACAAAGCCCTGCTAGCTGTTTACCCTGTATCCAGTCTTTATGCTAAGCTAAACTAATCAGCTGCTGGCTTTAGCTTCATATTTAACATGAGAGCTGTGTCCATCTTCTCAAAAGCTAAATTCTCTCCACTTAAAACAAAATCTCTTGTAGAGATGTGACGAATGCTTAAAGCCTTTAGACACCAAGTCAGTATTTTTCATATGTTTTTAAATCTGTCATTCAATAAAAATCACACGATTTCTACGCACAGAAACATTGCACACTTTACTGTTATATTTTTTGGCACAAAAAAATTGCTGTACATGACAAAATACAAAGACACATTGCCCATGCCTGTGCACATGTGCCCAACATATCTGCCCTTGCATTTAGCATCATGGCATTTCTTGAAAGGCTTACATTACCTTCCCTTTGTCATGGAAGATTTCAGGCAGGACATTGCTTCCATATATTTCCACTTCTTTTTCTTGCTGGCGACCTGTCCACTTCTGCCCTGTTCCTCTCTCCTGTTGTCCCCCAAATTATGCCACATTTTCTTCCTTGCATCTTGTTAAAACAACTCTATAAAGGAAAAAAAAATTCAGAAAAGCAAACCGGTTCCATAAACTTTTCCAGCGCACAAAAGTTGTGGCGTGTAAACATGATGTGAGGTTGTATTTATATTTGAATGGAGGACAATTTCGGACAGTCCGAAACATATAACTCCCATTAAAATTTACTAGCATGGTACTTATGCAGATACTTATGTCGTCATAACTTGGTTTTGTCAGTGTCCATAAAAGCTCTCTGCTCTGTCAGATTTTTAATATCTTAGTTATCTCTGCTGTCTAAATCCCGCTGTGATTACAGACATGTCTGAACTAACAGCGGCTTCTTGACTTGCTTCTTTTCATGAGCTTTGACATTTAGTGCTCAAACGTCTTGAGGCTTATGGGTAATGCTGTTTGTTAAATTTGTCTAAAACCAGAAATTTTGAACAAACAACGGTATTAGAATGTTTTTGAAAAAGCTACCACCCTGAGCTAGAAATAAGAAGAAGGACTGAGAAAGGCTCTGTTCCAAGCCTGCATGTTTAGTGATTAGTGTTGTTACAAATGTCAGGTATTTTTGAGTTCATTTTTTGTTCCTCTGGAACAGGACCAGAAGTTTTGGTTTCACTTTGACTCCATGAGTCTACTTTCAGGGCAACTTGCAGCCAACCAGACTTACCAGGTGTCTTATTTATGTTATGTGTTTACATGTGTGTGGCTGTGGGTCGTTGTTGATCCAGAGTGTGTACATGTAGAAGAAGCAGAACAAACAAGAGAAGGTTGAAAAATACTGGATTTTTTCTTGGTCAAGGTGCCCTTCATCATAAAAGCAGATCCCAAGGGCTTCAGTAGAGCTGCCCTGTGGTAAACAGCAGAGAACTGTGGAGGCCAGGTGCTGCTGAAGAGCATCATGGGAGCTCTGTTATGAAAAGAACTGTATTGTAAAGAAACGCCAGGTTAATCATTGTGACAGTTTTACCGGTGCAGATAGGGCACATTAGTCCACATTGTGTGGGTCGCATCCTGGATGTGAGATGATACTTGAAAGACAGAGAGAGGCTGGGGGCTCGCAGAGGGAAAACAGAGACCGCCAAAAATGAGGTTCTCAGTTTACAATGGGATCTCTGGAGCCGCAGAATGCAGATAGCGGTACAGTAGGTGAGAAGAATGATTATTAAGCCGATCAAAGGGAGCGCTGCGCTGCTAATTGCTCCCGTAATGTTCTCAGTACTGTACTGCTGGATTAGACTTCTCTCTCTCCAGAGATGCCGCAGGGATGGGCTCACCGACACTCTCTCTCAGACACACACACACACACACACACACACACAGAGCACTTGCTATGCAGCATCGACTGATCTCACTCTTCCTTGATCCTCCCCTGCTGAGCCCAGTTCATCTGTGATGAGCTGCAGTGATAACGGGGAAATATCTACCAGGAACTGAACCAGTGAAAAACCACACAGCCAATGTCATTTGTTATCCCCAATTAAATCCACACCTGAAGACTAAGATCATAGACTGTTGATATAGAGTTGCAGCGTTGGTGATGTCGCCCATATGTGTCAGTCTTTTTTGGAAGATTTGATTTAGTTCTCAAAAGTATTTATTGAATAATTGTTTGAGTAGTTCAGAAAAAATACCAACAAATTGTTGCCTCTAACTGGTTAAATGTGAGGTTTGGACTGGTCAGGCAAAATAAGGCATTTGCAGACATTACATCAGGCCCAAAGGAGATAAAAATAAAATGATCAACAGATTAATCAGTGATTAAAATAAGCCTCTGTGACCGCCCTAAATCGATTTGGATGCATTTCTCTGCTATTTTGGCCCTGTATGGCCCTACAGTCTTATAATCTAAAATGAGATGAGAGCGTGCCAAATAGCAGCACTCACTCTGATAGGCTGAGACAGCTGTCAATCAAGCAAACTCCCCTAAAATATTCCTCATATAAGACTTAAAATCTTTCCAGAGTCAACAGATATCTTGAAACACCCACTGCATTGGCAGCTTGTCATTACAGATACAGAGGAGAGTATGGCATTAGGTTTAGTGTATCCAGTTGTGCATTTAGCCACAACTATACAGCCATCCGTGAGTGAATCATAGTCTTAAAAAAATCAAGTATTGTGATTGCAGGACACAGCTATAGCTGAAGTTTAGTTCAGAAAACCGGTCCGGGATCAGTTAGATCTTCAGTTTTAAGAATAGCTCTTGTTTTCTTAGGTGTGGTGATAGAAAGCAGGGCTGCACAGTTAATTAATAATTAATCTCCATCAAGATTTTGGCTTTCCACAATTAAAAGAACATGATCAACTGCGGTATTGACATTTAAGATGCTCTGCTCATAGAAAACTCTGCTTAATATCAAATCAAGCTTTTACTAAACGAACAGCCATGTCAGCTGTCATTACGGCTGGGCGATATGTCCTGAAAATTACATCATAATATTTTTCGGCGAGACAAAATCCAACATAAAAATATTTCTGTCCAAATATCTTCTCTGATGCGACCAAATGTGTTGGGACAGCTATTGATGTTTTTTGTCCCCCAGAAAATAGTAACACAATGAGATTTTTGATTAATAATCATCAATAATGTTTAAACAAATTTATAAGCCTGGTAAGTTGATAAATTTACATCACTTTACCGTAATGCAGCCTTTAAAATGAGGGAAAAAACATAATTTATGCCACATCATGATACAATGATATCCGAAATCAAAGACGATATATAGTCTCATATCTAGATAATGATGTAATATCTTTATATTGCCCAGCCCTAGCTGTCATGCTGCTGCATGCGCACCCTGCAGCAGCAGCCTGTGAGAAACCTTCCTGAATGTTGCAGCTCTAGTCCGGGAGAGTCAACAGAGATCAGGCGGGCAAAATGAAAATCTTATGTCTGGAGCAAACGGTGAAGAGCTAGTTGCAAGAAACTGCTCATCATCTGTTGCTTGGAAGTATTTGGGATTTTTAAGTGATGTTAAGCAGGAACAAATCATACCTACAAAGTGCATGAGAGTCTGTGCAGCAAAGCAACACAGCTAACATCACAAACTGCAAAACGATAATGCATGAAGGCCAAGAAGAATAATTTTGCTAATGCTGCCTCACTGAATCCAGCATCCACTGAGCGTCAATTAGACATCCATAACAGTGACACTGTCTCCAACCTGCCACTGAAGACAGACTGAAATAACCAATGCAGTCACATTTGGCCAAAGATATGTGTCCATTACACATTGTTTTCATTCGGTTGTATTCTGTGATGGCATACTTATTTTTAGTTAGCCTACATTTTGGGCACAATTGAATTTATAATTTGCTTCCCGGAGATTCACTGTGAGCAAGGACCAGTCTTAATTTCATGCAGAGATTTGTACATTAGCAGGATTGTAGCACAACAGGGTGCTTTTTTTATTTACATGTGACAGAGCAATATAAATGAATAATCATGATAAATAATCATGATCTCAATATTGAACACAATATTTGTGATTATCATTTTGGCCATAATCATGCAGCCCTTATATACAGACAGTCTTTCTGCTACATGTATTATAGTGTGACAGTGAGGGATGTTTGCTGTATTGTACTTTTTTAAATCCTTTGGGGTGTTGTTAAAGTGGGGCATCACTGTAGCTAAATCAAAACATGACAGAAACCAAAGAGAGGGATGCTTGCTGGCAGAAACAACAGAAAACACAGGAGAGAATAGCAGCTGCAGGGATGCATTTCATTTAAGTCGACAAAGGGGACTGTCAGCGTCCTGATTACTGCGCCTCTCAGCGCCCTCCAGCTGTGAATGTGAATTCAGAGACTTTACCTCCTTAGCATTTTTCAGAATCACTGGCCATCACATGTCGGTGTCGGCCATTGCCAGAACAAGAACGTGACACTGAAAAAGGAGTTTGACTTTAAAATGGCGGACTGGAGGCTTTGACATTAGCTCTGTGTATACTCGCCCAGCTTAAATTTATAACTCAGTGTCACAGGAAAGGCTGTCGGCCTGAAATACTGACTATAACGTATGCACAGTCATGTGATGCTGTCTGCTTCTACTTTTTATTTCAAGTGAAACTGGGCAGTTTCAGGAGATTGTCCTCCATACTCCACAAAAAAGAAGCACCTTCGAATCACTAACTCCTGTGAATATTCTAGCTGTGATATTTTATCTCCAGCTGGTGTTTTTGAGTGATAGTTAACCCTTTGAAGTGACAAATAAATTAAAAAACAATACTTAAACTTATTTGTTGTAGTTTTAGACGTCATGCACCTCCTTCACTCAAGTTTCCTACATATTCAGTTACACACTTTGAGAATGTAAGAGCCACAGTCCTGACTGACAGGCTGCCTTCATTATTGTTAATCTGACATTTCTTTAAATTTGCTGGACAGTGCGGGACATTACTGCTGAGCTGTTGGGGAAGAAGTCAAGTGTGGCGGTCACAGTATTAAGTCGTACCTGGCAGTGAGGTGATGGATTAAAGGAGGAATTTAGAGTGGCTGTGACAGACAGAATCACCTGAGCTTCAACTGGGCCAAACACCACAGAACTCTCTGCCAAAACACAGCATCAAAGTAAACTAATGTTTGCCTCTCAGACAGAAGTTGACTTCTCTCAGATATTTCAAATATTTTGCAGCAGGCAGCTCTGGTGCATCAAGTTGGAAACACTGAAATAGTTATCTGAAAGTAAACTTATTTCCTTTAATCACCAATTTATCTTTGTAATGTCATTTAGAATAGTATAAATTACTCATGTCTAAGTTTGGCCAGTTGGCTCATTGTGACCATTGTGGATTCATGCTAAATTCAATGTATGCACAGTTGCATGAAGTAGGCATTCAACTGGGACAAACTACTTCATTGTAACATTGCGCCTTGAACTTTGACCCTTTTGTTCACATATCTGTCACAGTCCATAGCGCAGAACATAAAGTAAAAGGAAAAAGTGTACGATTTGGAACACAGCTGACCTTAGCATTTCACTTAACGTTACCTAAGAGATGTGACAAAATATACTGA